TTAAATACACTTTCATAAGGTATAAAAGATGAATCATCCTGTACTTGTGGTTGAGTCTAGAAATAGAACAATGAATTAACATATAAGTGCGATAATGAGAAAAAAATATAAATAAGACCGTAAAAGAAGCGAGCTCACATCAGCACTTTTCGTATACGAATCACTAACATCCATTAATTCAGTATTTAGGGATTCATGTTCTTTAACATTGCTTTTGGCGGAATCGGACGGCGAACCGTTATTACTATATAATATTTCAGCATCAGCCTCAGATGCATTTGCATTGGAGGTCGAAGTAACGACCTTTTTCCCCTTACGCTTATTTAACAAAGTCAAACTTTGTAACAATTCTTGATGTTCTTTGCTAACCTTTTCCATTCGCTTAGACAATTGTGCGACTTCATCCCCGGATACGCTCGATGTTAGTTTTGCTTTCTTAGTTACGGCTCTTGGAGTAGCATCTTCAGGAGATACAGTGCGTTTACCAGTAGAATTTGACTCAGAATGATTAGTAGTAGATGATCCTGCCTCATTTTTAGGCTTAACTAATTTTAAGAGTAATTCTTTTTTAGCTACTATAGTTTTATGAACAGATGAAAGTTGTTTTTTGAGTTGTATCACATTTTCAGATACAGTCTTCTCATTGCTAACCAATTCGGTTTTTCTAGTCATGAATTTAGCTTTTTCACTTAAAGCATCTTTAATCTCTGTCTCTTTACTAAGAATTGATGAATTACTATCTTCTATTTGACGATTAATATCATCGAGTTGTGATTCGATCAACGCTTTTCTGACTTCTAACGCATTCCGACTGTTTACTAACTCGTCACGTTGTGTATTAAAATTAGAATTCATTTTTTCGTAATCGTTTTCGAGTCGTTCTTGATCTTTAATACGAGATCGAATGTCGGAGAGTTCTCTTTCCTCAGCTTCAATCTTAGATCGTATTTCGTTAAGATTGGCTTTTGCAGTCTCAAATATTTCCAATTCTGCTCTAATTGTTGCAATATCTGGAGGAGGAGAATTACCTCGACTAGGACCCGCTTGTGCTTTAGCGTTTGTAACATTAGAGTTTGAACTAACTTTATCTTGTAGTGTAGTAATATTAGAACTCGGTCCAACCTTGTTTTTCTTTAGGCTCTCCATCTTACTTGCAATCAATTCATTCATGCGCTTAATCTCACGTTCCTTTTCCTCCAATTTCTTTTTTGCATCAGATTGTGCTTTCTTTTCATCTTCAGTTTCTAATTTAGAATCAGGATAAATATCCTTTTTAACTTGTTTAATTAATCCAGTAATACTACGTTCATTGTCAGATTCATCGCTTAATTCGATAACTAAATTTGTCTCACGAGGGGCTAAGAATGGCTTTTGATTATTTGAAATGATTGAATTACTCTGTGATTTCGGCGGTGAAGAAGTTGGAAGTTGAGTTAAATTAACAATATTAATGCTTGGATTTAATGATATTCTTGAAGCATAAGCTTCTTTAGGTGATGAAGAAGAAGTAGCTATTGACGGTTGCGTCGTCAAATATTGTACAGAAGAGAATCCAGGTATTGTGGATTCGACAGGTTGATCTCGTTGTGATGATGTTAATTGTGAATAGAGTTTTGTATTTTGATCAATCGGATACGTTGTTGG